GGGGGGGGGGGGGGGGGGGATCCGCTGCTGGGTCAGAGTACAAGAAGGGCGAAAAAGAGGGGGAAGGAAGCTCTGGTTCCGGAAGAGGAACCGCAAGAATGCGAATGGAAAAATCCAACCTACGAGCAGAGCGCTCCAGAAAAGAACGCGTCGTGCTCGAACGACACCAGCAGCATTACGCTTGCGCGGCAGCCCCAACGCTACGATTTCATCTTGTCGTGCGAAGGTGGACAGAAACGCGTTGCGTGCTTGTGTTTGAGGTACAACTCATGAAACCCTGTCAGGCTGTCGTTGTCGCAGAAACATTTGGTGACACCCCCCTCAGCACTCCCTGCGACAAGCACGGGGGTCCCTATCACAGCAGTGCGAAGAGTCTTCCTTCTTCCGCAGGAAACACAGATTCGGAACACACGGCGACCTCTTTGATCTAATGGCGGCGGGCAGCGAGCGACCGAGCGCTTGTAAGGCTCTCGAAAGCGCTCATCGTTCCTCCGTGCCTGTTGCTGCGGTAGCCGATGCAGCACACGGGTCATCATTTATTTCCTTTGTCCCTCTTGCCAAAAAAGCACGACGAAATCAAAGTTTTTCTCAACTGCCGGCCTCGAATGCCGCCCACCTGCAGTTCCACGCTGCCGGACCCGATGAAGTAAACCTTCTCGGCCGAGGAGGAAGCAGAGGAAGGGTTGCCGTTGTCAGCTAGCACAGCTCCAGCCGCCACGTGCTCCTGCCGGAAGAAAGATTTGGCCTCCCCAAGCACGCTGCGGACGCCTTCCGGGGCCTGGGGGAGATATGTGGTGCGTCGTTCCGGTCCGGTTTATGATAAAAGTTTCCCGTTTCCCAGACAGGTTTTGTTCGTAACCGAAGTGTCTGTGACAGGAATACGCCCCCATGGCAAGCGATGCCGCTCGTTGCAGTCTTCCGTACGGTTCGGTTTTCGGTTTTCGGTCTTCAGGTTTCCGTTTCCCAGTGCATTTTCGAGAGCCTTGAAACCAATGTGTGAGATAGGAATGTTGCCGTTGCAAATGATGTCACATGCCACACTCTATGCAGGCTCCCGTAGCACCATTCAGCGAAGGGGGATCAAGCAAACGGTTCATCATCTGGATATTTGTGACGATGGATGACGTCTTGTAGGCGTTCGCTCGTCGTCGTCTTCGTCGTCTTGTACCACGAATAATACAGATCTGTCTGTAAGGCTCGCTCGTTCATGCTCCTACACATGGCCAGATCTCCTCAGAAACACGAACGCGGGCGGAACGTGCACGAGCAACCGCGCCCAGGAAACCGACACCCGTGGTCGAAGAGTGCGGGAGCGGGCGAAAAAAGTCTCATTTTCTTCCAGACCGAGAAGAGGTCGGACACGCCAACGGAAACAGACCTCGGACCGAACCGAAAGTATGCACAGGAGAAACATGCGCGTTGCGTACATATTGGCGTTTTGCGACGCGGGCAGGGCAAAAATTACGAAGGGTTCGTGACAAGCGCCCGAGTTACAAATCACTGTTCCAGAGCTCTTGATTGGATGCGACCCGGGGAGAAAAAAGAAGTACGTGACATGACACGAAGGATCCGTTTGACGAGCATTGTCACGAAAAAAAAACTCATCGCAGTCACAAGGCACTGCCGCTCGAAGGTCGTAGTCAAGGTCGGGCGAGAATAACAGAGGCCACACAGGGTGAAATCGGCCAGAAGAACGGCGAAAGATGCAAGCAATACTAATCCTACAAACGTGACCCCCTCAACAGCTGCACAGCTAAACAATCACAGCCGCGACTGGTACAAAGCGAGAGAGAAAATCGCACCGCACGCTCGAGACACCAAAACAAAATCGCCGCACCTGGTAACGGTCAACTTCCAGGTAGTCCTCCAGGATAGACTGCAAAGATCCAACATCTCCGACAACGAGAGGGTTGTCCAAGGCTGCACACGGCGACAGCCAGAGCGGGAGGGGTGAAAATCAGCACGCCGGGGAAGGGGTGGGCTGCCATGAGGACAGGGAATTTTGCGCGGAACGCAAGACAGGCACTGAGCAACGACCGAGTATACGGGGAAGTGGGGCCATGATAAGAGAGGGCAGATGCAGGGGGAATTGAGAAATAAATAGCAAAACCTACCTAACTCCACCCGACCAGGATGGCCAACATTACATCACCAGCTACTCCTCAAAGCGAGGCCCAACCATGCCACCCAAGCCCAACTGTTCGCCCCCAAACCCACCCGAACTCCCCTGCCACACCCACTCCTGCCAGCAATCACACGCAACAACTGTAATTACAGTCGTGGCTCCGAAGAGAGGGTGGTGTCACAAAGGCCCTTGACCCGCTTATAGCGGAGCCCCCGCTCATTTTCGGAATACGAGGCTACCCAACCATGCGATAGCTACCCAACTATGCGATAGCGGGTCGAGTCCGTGACACCTGATATCGACCCTCTTCTATCGGAGTCCGCTCTGACAAGGTCGTACCCCCTAATATCGGAGCCCCTCTTATGAGGTAACCTCCGACTGTCTGTACCTCGGTCGGAGATCTGGGTGCGAAACGAGCTCTGCCTCCGAAGAGTTCCGGCGCGGAGGTAGTAGTCCTCGTGGTCCCCGAGAAACACGGCCGCCTCTGCCTCCGGCGACGGCACGGCGGTGGCGGGGCGACCCTCTTCCCCCTCCCCTTTCTCGTTCTCGCTCCCGGCCAGCGGCAATCCCCCTCCACCTCCCGCTGGTTCTTCCGTAGTGTGTCGGCCTTGGGCCTGGGTCGTCAGGGCGAGGGGGGGGGGAGCCGTCCCCGCCAAACACGCCTGCTGCTGTTGTTGTCGGAGGAGGGAGCCGCCGACGGACGGGGAAGCCGTGCCCCCCCCGCCGCGAAGAAGCGTCTCTTCCCTCCGCTCGTCCAGCATCATCTCCTCGGACCACTCCAGTGCAGTGTCGAGGCTAGAGTGGTTTGGTGCGCGCGTGATGGGGTGGGGGGCAGGGGGGGGGGGGTGGT